GGGGAGAAAAAGGTTGATTCAATCGGGATTTGAAAACAAGATCTACCGACAACCGCTTGGTTGCTCCACCACATGGGTGGCGCCAGCGGGGGTCCGGGGGAGAAAAAGCATAATTCGTCGGGGAGAAAAAAAATTATGTATTTTCTACATATTAGTAGACTCTAAAATCGATTAAATAAGCCTTTGAAACCCCTAAATTGTCAAAATTTCTGGGCTTCGCCCCCTGGACCAAGGCAATTTAATTTTTTTTTAATTGAAGCTTGACCACACCTACTTTGCTTTCTGAATCTCTCGTCGGGGGATCGCCTTCCCCCCCCCCCCCGACGGGGACCCCCCGACGGGGACCTCGGCCCCCCTCCCCCGTTGGGCAAATCCCTGCTCCGCCAGCTGAGCTATAGGGCCATTAGTATACTCGTTTAGATTTTTCTCTATTAGGTCATCATATTTTTAAGGTGTTGCGTAATACTCAGCTAAAGCATATAATACTCAGGCTTAGCATATACAAGTATGAGGTAGTTTTCCTCATTTGGGATTTATAATGAAGTTGACTTATTGTTGAGAAAGCAAACTGTAGACCCCATCGGGATCCAAGAAATCATATCAGCGCCCCTTTGATAGCTATCAGACCAACCACAAACGGTTAGATGGTAAGAGTTGATTCAAATCCCGGTGGCACCAGCTTTTTTTTCTCAACATATGAAAAGTTCTTGACGATTACCGCCACTAAAACTCATCCATGTTCAAATCTCCCGGATGTTGGACTATTTATCGATGCATTGGTGATACATCACTATAATATAAAGCAACTGCTGCCAGCATGTAACGTGATGGCACGAATCTAGATTATTGAAGATGTATACTGTATACGGATATTGATGTATATCTTAATTTGTTCGGGAATCACAGTGTTTCAATTCAATACATAGAGGTGTGTTATTTATTTTTCCCTTACCATTTGTTTAATATTTTGAAATTCACAATAATAATTTTTATTATTGTAACTTGACAGTGCCTATTAGGAAAACTGGATGTGTCTGTTCTCTACTGAATTCGTTTTAGAAAACATTTGTGAATCAAAATTTCGAATAAATTATTGTTAGATAGGCCATAAATCGTTAATTATGTCATCGCTTATTAGCAATACATCTGAAACAGACGATTTGGAGAATACAATTGAGAAGACCATTCCACATCTAATCGATTGTTTGAATTTTGCAAAAAATATCAGCGAACTTCATAAACAGGAGAATTTTTTCATCTACGCTATACCAACGCTATACGTATTTTGTATACTATCATTTCTTACCAACATCTTTGTTGTAGTATTGATTTTAACCACAAAAACCCTTCGCAAGATACAGAACGTATTCGTGACTTTGTTGGCTGTGGCTGATGCAGCAAGTTCTGTGTTTGTCATATTAACGTACAAGTTACTGCTGTTGAACATAGACAATATTTTCTTCATATTGACAATAACAAGCACTTTCCTACTAATCTCCGTTTGTTTTATTTCTCTTATTGCTATTGATCGCTACATCGCACTTGTGGGGGCTCCGATGAAATATCATCTTATTGTCTCTCCAAAAACATGCACTCTTGTAGTCATCATTGTTTTGACTAGTCAAACAGCTTTCACTGCACTTTTAAACCGAACTGGACAATTTGAAATCTATTTCACGGTTGTTTTCGGAGTTTACATTATACTCAATACCGCGTTGTATATAATAATTTACAAACGTATCCTCAAAAACAGAAGAAGTATCCCCCAATTGACGCATAACGTTGAACAGTCAAAAAAAATGTTAATGACTTTTGTTGTTATTGTAGGAGTACTTATTGTAACATGGGGACCTTCTGCTGTGAACTCTATAATAGTAAATGTATTAGTTGAAAAATGTAGTTTGAATGTTGAAGCATGGATAAGAAATTACTGCTGCCAATTCTTGATAATGTTGAATTCTCTTGCAAACCCATTTATTTACTGGTTTCGTCTGATTGAATTTAGAAAAGCTCTTAAAGACAAATTTTGTTTCTCGACCTTTGGCTAATATATAGTTTTATGCTATATAAGCTAAATCATATTGCGATAATGCTATGTTTAAATTGTCAAAGTAGAAGTGCACCTATTTTATATAATTTGAGAACTGATGTTCCATCCATGTTTAGCGACAGACCATTGTAATGCCTAGGATTAGGATGATTCTAGACAAACTATCCTTGTATTTATATAAATTTATATCGAATGGCCCAGATAGGATAAGAAATTTTACACCTAGATGCTCCAAGTACGTCATCACCATGGTTTAGAGCGTCTACGTAGTGAATGCACACGAGATTTATAATTTTAAATATGAGATGCTATGCAACTGAGCATGCTAAATCAGTTCTCAAATTAGTCGGTAAACTCATTTAAAGAGAAGAAAAAAAATTCCTAGCCGGGATTCGAACCCGGACCTTCCACTCTATGCTGACGCCTTGTCCAACTGGGCTACTAGTGTTTCAGATCTTATTAGCAGCAATAGATAGTTCATACTTTCGCACCTACGTGGAAGAAACGTTAGTTCTCGATGTATAGTATAACAGAAATCAATATGATACGCCTCGAAGTTTGACGATTAATGGTGACCATCAGACAACTGTCATTATATGTTCTACAGTGTAGTATTGAGCACTTTATCAGCTAAAACTGAAGTACCCATGTTATAATATAATATATAGTATATACATTTTTAACGTTAAAGAAGAGTAATCTGCGTGTGATAAACAAAAAAAAAATTCCGTCTATGTTGTGTCATGTTGTTCTATGATACATTATATATATATATATATATA